CTTTCCAAGCAATATTAGTTGTAAACTGGTCTATTACCTTGCATTCTTTCTAGATGTCCGGGCCATTCTATTCTACGTTTTTCACCACTTTTGTTATTCTAGGGTTTTCATACAAATGGTACACTTCTGCATTAGTTCGTGTTCTCCATTCTCCCTCTACTACTTTCCCACCAAGCATTCTGCGAAGTATCTTTCTTTCCCATGCTTACAATCTGTTTTGTATGGTTTTGTTCATAATCGGTAGCGTATAGCATTGTGGTTATAATAATAGTTTTGTATACTCTTATTTTTGTATTACGAGATATATCTTTGGCCTTAATTATTTTGCTCATGGCTCCAGCACACCTATTGCTCTTCATCAGTCTCAGGTTGATTTCAGTTTCTTCCTTACATGTCTGATCAATAAGAGTATCTAAGTACATAATATTCATTCACCTTCTCAAATTCTACAACTGGTGTTTATTCCTTTTTTGCTGGAGATTTCCATGTACTTCGATTAATTAATATCATCTTTCGGTCCCATTTTAGAGCTTTTCCGAATCACGCTTTTTGCTATATTTGCCAGTTCTTTTCCACTTCTTGGTGCTCCTGGTTTCCATGGAAACGGAAATGATTTCCATTTCTTTCATTCATTGGTGCTCCTTGTATAAAATAGTGCCGGACCTACTTATCCCACAAACCCTTACAATTTTTTTTCTGGAACTGTATTGAATAACAATGTAGACAACAGGTCTCCTTGGCGAATACCTTTTTTCACTTCGAATTCTTCTGAGACTGTACCGTTGCATTTCACAGCACAAATGGATTGTCTAATTGTCATTTTTACCCATCTTACTATTTTTTCTGGCAATTGGAATTCTTTTAGCATTTCTATTAATTTGTTTCTGTCTATTGTATCGTAGGCGGCTTTGTAATCAATGAAAAGTACTTGTACTGAAATGTTGTATTCATAGCAATTGATCAGGATTTGTTTTAGCATAAAATTTGATCAGTTGTTGACTTCCTTTCCGAAATCCTCCCTGATGTTCTCCTAGATTCTTCTCTACATATATTTCTAATCGTTTTTTAATTAGTATGGTAAGTACTGTATATATTACCTCTAATAAGGATATTCCTCTATAGTTTGCGCTTTTAGTTCTATATCCCTTTATGTTTTATATATCTTCTTTTCCGATCTTTGCATTTGCGTCGCCTATAATAATTTTAATATCTTGCCTGGGCATTTCTTCAGACAATGGCTCTTATTCTTCATAAAATTCATCTTCATCTTTCATTTCTTCTGCTTTTTCTTCTGTTGAGGCATGTATCTTTATTAGCGATATCATGCTGTCTTTTCCTTTATCATTTTACTTGCTACACGTCTTTGTTCCCGAAAACCCACTCCAAAATTCTTATTATCGCTTCCACTTGAATAAAACATGTATGGGCTAATCTTTTCAATGGTGTTTTCAGTCAAATGTGTTTCCTCTATTGCTATTATGTGTATTTTATATTTTTTAAGTTCTTCTATTAGGTTAATTCTGCCGTCCTAACATGAAAGGTCCTATCTGCAAAATTTAGGTTTTGAGAAAATCAAGTTTTTGTTTCTTTTCATTGTATAACGCTTGGTAATTTAAAGAAGTCTTTATGTTTTATTTTATATATTATGTCAGAGAATAGAATTTAATTGCTAGTCAGAATTTTGTTTTATTCTTTCCAGATTAGTCGATTTTTGATTAAATTGCCACTTAGGACAATTTAGCTTAGTGTATCTGAAGTACGTTTTTTTGTATTACTTAATGAAATTGTCCTAAATAAAACTAAAATTTCAATTAACTGAACACTTTTAATTTTATTATACTAAGTTTTATAAAATAATAGAACAAAAAATAGTATTCCTCAAGAATGGAGATCAAGGGAATGGGAATTAATTTATGAAACACAACACTAAAATTAACAACCAAAGTGATAACAAATAAACTGAATGAAATTATAACACAGGCAGAAGAACCACAAGGTTTTAGGTCGGGAAGATTATGCATCGACGCTATATTTATAATGAAACAAATGCAAGAGAAATCATTAGAATACAACAAATCGGCATATCTATGTTTCGTGAACCTTAAGAAGGCATTTGACTGGATTAAACTAAAAGACGTTATCCACTTACTGTACGCAAGAGAGATACCTCCAGGAATAATCAAAACGATCAAAAATATCTACCAAAAAAAACACAATAAAAGTAAAAGTAGAAGAAGAACTAACCGACCCTATTGTAACTGGCAATGGGATAAGGCAGGGAGATTCTATGAGTCCTTTATTATTTAACCTGATTATGTATGAAATAATAAAAAAAGTAACTAAAAAAGGATACCAAATGGTAGAAAAACCACTTAAAATAATCTACTATGTAGACGACGCAATACTGATCTCTCAAAGTGAAGATGATTTACAACTTAAGCTGCACCAGTTTAATATAATCGCCAGAAAAATGTTAATTTACCCAAAAAAGACAAAAAGCATGCTTACAACAGCAAATTTACTAAGATGTAAACTGGAGCTGGAAGGTAAGATAATAGGAGAAGTGATGGAGTTTAAATATCTAGGCATCACATTATCTAGCTACAGAAAGCTCAAAACTGAAAAGGAAGTTCAAGTGAATAGAGCAAACAGTGCCGCATGCTGCCTGAATGAAACAATATAAAGAAATAAAAATATCGAAAAAGAAATGAATGACAAACTTTACAAAACAGTCATCAGACCAATAATGGCATACGCAGCAGAAACAAGACCTGACACAGAGAGGACAAAAATGATGTTAGAAACAGAAGAGATGAAAACACTTAGAAACAGTGATGGCAAAACACTGTGGGATAGAGCTAAGATAAGATACAGAGTACAGAGATACAATGTATATGCAAGGTAAGGTACATCAGACAAAGTAAGAATATTAAGAACTGTGTAAGAAATAGAAGAGTAGAATTGAACGATCATACAAGCCGAATGACAACAAATAGAGTAGTAAATACGGCAAGAGACGGTTCCCCAATAAGAAGACAATCAGTTGGAAGACCACGAAGACGATGAGATCAGTAGGAAGACCACGAAAACGATGAAACGGCAACTTACTGGAGGTACATTGAAAAACAGACAGAGTCATGTCTATATAAAAAGAAGAAGAAGTTTTAAAACTTAGTACACAATTTACATCCTAATATATGTAACATAAATGATAATAGTTAGATTCGAAACTAGAATCCGACTCATTTCCATTTATATTATTGTCGAATTTATTGGACGTCCCAGGTGCATAATCTGGATTAAACTCGCTTTTGGCTAAATACCATACGTTTACACCTATCGCTGTTCTGGCTACGACATGCTGCATTGCTACAACCAGAAAATATAGACGCATGTGCATCTATATTTTTTGCTACTACTACAAACAATAATTACGATCAGTTATTGCTTATACCTAAGGTAACATTATTAAACTTACCCTTCATCCATTTCTCACAATATATTTACTTGAGAGTATGAGAGTATTCCCAATGTCTGACAATAACAAATACCCTTTTTAATTAATTATTTGAAGTTATGTTACACACATGCTTATATGATACTAGGCAAAAATTGTCCTAAATGATGCCGCTCAGTATAAAATACTAGCTTAAATAGTCCTAACTGCATTTTTAAAGTCAAAACGGACAATTTTTCTTAGTATATGTGAGATAGGACAATTTATGTTAGTGAACATGGCTTTTTAGTCAGTTAGGACAAACCATTTAGGTATATAATAAGGCACTTAAGACGCTTATAGGACAATTTCATTTTGTACATATATAGATAATATGTTTATGAATGCCGTGAGCCAACAAAGTCATTTTACCAAATTTTGCAGATAGGACCTTTCATGTTAGGACGGCAGAATTAATGCTCCCTCCTCGTACATTCCATGTCGCAATATTTAGGTATATACGTACTTTTATTTTTTGTTTTGCTAATTATGTTTAATCTCATTTTCCTATTCATCGCTAGGGTCCGTTGGCATAATGGGCCGTCTTTTTCGTTTTCCACTACTATATGCCGTTTTTGCCCATTCCCATTTTGTCATCCACAGTAAGTTTTTTGTACCCTATCTTCACGTTTTTACCTTCAGCTCTTAGTTACTTGTCTTTATTTATGATTTCCTGCCTCATGTGTCTTTTCTTTTCGGTCAGGTCATCGTTGATAAAGATCTTTTCTCCAGTAAGAAATCTGAGTTTGTTTTTTTCTTTCATTATCTTAATTTTTTCGCCAAAATCCTTCATTTGTACCAGACATATATTATTTTTTAGCTTCATTACAGATTTTATTTCGACATCCTCTTTAGGTGCTTTTGTATAAAATCTTTTACGTTATTTTTTAAGAGTGTTTCATTTGTTGCGACTATTGGTAGACCCGTAATTACTGTTATTTCTTTTCATCTGTTTTTCAATTATTTCTACTTTGTTTTCAACCTGGGTTGTTAAAAGTTAAAGTTTATTTCATGTACTTAATCGAATGAACTATCCTACAATAAAGTCTTCCCAGGAACTCAACTCGGCAATATTGACAATATCATTTTAAAGTCGTCTACTTTAAAATGTATAATATACATATGTCTGAATTGTCAATATAAATGACTCGGATAAAATTAAATTATTAGAATAATTTTTCACCAAATAACAGAAAACAAAATTTGTTTATTTTATTAATGTTTGTATTTTAAGAAAGAACTGGAAATTGAAACATCAATAAACTTATTTTAAACTTTAATTGTGACTTATTCCTATTAAAATAGTAATTACGTTAAGTTACTTCTTTGAAAAACACATAAAAGACAGAACATTGAACTCCACAAAAAACACATTAAAAGATTTGTTTATGGTTCATAATTATAATGTTATGCAAACCAAGATTTATAGAACTTATTCTTTTGACAGTCTTCAATAAATTTCTTATTTCATTGTAAATTTCAATTCACCATTTTTTGATAATTTAAATAACCTTAGTTTCCTATGTATCACACATATCAAATGTCACCTTCTTTGAGGAATCATTTAAAGGGGTGGCATTCGATTGTGCTTATTCTCTACAATTATATGGCGGGTTTCTGATACCCGTACCATAAACAAATATTTTAAAGTTTTTTTGGAGTCCAATATTCTGTCTTTTATGTGCGTTTTCGAAGAAGTGACTTAACATTAATAATAAAAATTTGTGGACTTTTCCATCAAAATGGGATCTCTTTTAATTTTAAATTCATTACTTATAGTAGTGTTCGATTTTCTCAAGTATGCCAGACTCCTGCCATGACGACTTTAAACATTATTGCGAACCAAACAATTTAACAAAGAGTACACAGCAGTGAGTCCCAAAACAATGATATTTTTATATATTTGCAGATAACTTGGTAATCCACCGTTGATGCATTATATCATAGTACCTAGGCGACAAATACTTTTTTTATATCAAAATCAATTATGGCTGATCTTAAAAAATTGTTTTTGAATTTCAAGACGTATCTGACAACTATTTCGTACTTTGAGTTTGGATCTTATTAACTATTGTTCTCAATAAATAAATAAATAAATAAATAAATAAATAAATAAATAAATAAATAAATAAATACTACTAGCGCATTTACAGTACACATGTTAACCAGACGAGAAACAAAATTGAAAAAAGTTTTGAAGGAGCTAAAAATCTTGGGAAGTGTCTGGTCCATTCATAGTTGTTAAATGACCAGAGAGTATACTGGAAATAACGGAACTTGTCAAATTGTTACTCATATCTGAGGACATATTCAAAAAATCTGTTTTAAATGTTATCTCTGAAGTATTTTCTACAATTAAAGTTGTATCTGAAGGTGTAGATGGCGCTGAATCCATGGCTACGCTGTGTGGTGTGGACGATATATTAGGATCACATTGGTCTTCAAAGGGATCAACGTTAGCGAGTAATTTCCTTTCATTTCTTACATATTCGATAAAGTTTTTTATTTTTATTAGTAAAAATAGGGGCACTTCAAAACCCTTCAGTTCATGTAGTTGGAGGTTGGCATTGTATTTGTATTCATCGCTTTCTGTTAACTCTTTTATGTCTTCCAGGAGCATTAAATACGCTTTGCCACCACTAGGTGGCATTAGATTCTTTGAAGCTAACCATTCTTTATCCTCTTGGTCTCCAGAATACCTTAAATAATAAAACATAATTTATTCGTGGTTCAGATATTCCAAATATGTATTCATCAACCAAAAAATATTAAATATCTTTGTCTTATGATCTAAGAAATTAAATATTTATTATTCTCCAAAGGAGTACTTTTATTTCCCTCGAAATTACCTAGAAAATTTTTAGGTTACACAGATTTTGGATACCAGAATATCTTCTAAAGGTTTATGATGATAAGCGCATTAAAAGTCAATACCCACTAAAGCAATAGTTTTAGTAGATTTTGATTATGCTTATGTGCGAAAAAGTGAAATAAATTTGGTGCAAACTGAGTTAAACATACTTTAACCGAAATGTATAATTTTTGCACTCTTTTTTTTAATTATTTCTTATTTTGGATATCTAGTCAATTTTTATTTTTAAATAGACAGAAAAAATATAGTTGGCAAGTAACGACTTTTTGTACCAAATGAAAGGAGTGATAAACAAGTAAAGTTTTATCCGTAAAAATCTAGTTATTACAAATATCTATGATCACGTCCTTGTCATCTACATACGTGGATATCATAATGGGAAACACCAGAAAAGATTATACGATACCAGACGGGGTAATAGTGAAACATTAAACAAACAGGAAACCAGAAAAGAACTTACACCAATATTCAAAGAAAAGTTACAAAATACAGAAACCATCGAAGAAGGTGGTGAAATAATATAGAATGCAATTAAACAAGCCATAACTGAAACCAACAAAGAAAAACTGATTTGTAAATTACGAACTAAAAAAAAGACGAAATCTTATAAAAAAAATTATGGAAGCTGCCGAAATTAATCTTAATAAAGAAGTAGAATTAAAGAATCGATATTACAGTAAATTACCACCATTGTAGTATCAGTACCACAGTTCTTTTAATGGTTTTTATCGGCCAGTAAATTGGACGTTTACCTTTTAGAAAAAAATATTTTTGTTCCGACAAATGGAGAAAATTTAATTATTATTTAATAAACAAATTAGTATATTATTGCAGAATCTGTTGAATCTCTTAAAAATTGACAAAAACCTTCTTCCGCCTGTTCAAAGAACATACGTTCAGATAGAAGAGATCTCATTTTATATGAAATACATTTCAATAATTTGACATCTATTTTTAAACTGTTCAAATATTTTGGAAAATATTTGGGTTCTAGGGAAAATGTAACGTTGTCAGCCTGTATGATTCAACTTAAAGTTATCTGCAATGTTGTAGTTTATATCTTTCTCTAACGGTAGATAATGTGCAGAGATGTGCGAGATCAACAATGTCGTCGCAAATTAGGGCAATATAATCGGCAACAACGCCATTGTTATGGGTAGCTCTTTTATTGTCTGTTATCTGTAAGTCGGTTTCATAAGCGCAGTGGCAGAGGTTTCATAACGCTGAGAACATAATTGTTGGTAGTATTATTAGTGGAAGGAGCTTTTAAGTTTACTTTTTGTGAATTGTGAGTAATTTAGTTTAGTTCAATTTGGTGACAAATGATAAATAAAAGTGACAGTAGTAATAGTGAACCGTATATCAAAAGAGTGTAGAGTTGTGTCATAAGGGTAGAACCTTTTATTGGAACGACCACATCGAGCGTCATAGACGGGAGATGGTTCTTGATAACTGGTCCTCATAAGACAACTAACTTTAACTTATGGCTCCACGTGCCACACCCCGGGCAACTGCGTTGGTCTGCAGGCTAAACAAAGTGAGGGTAGCCAGATATGGCGAAAATTTCACCGAGCGATTGCCGGTATAAGCAATCCCCCGTTTACTGACCAACAGCTTCGGGTGGAGGAGCTAGTAAATGGTAGGGCACCCCTTTGTCCTGGAGGGAAACTGGCTTCAAAGGCAGAAGAACCGTGGAAGCGGACAACGAGATTGGGACAAGACTGAAAGGAAGAACGACAAAATAACAAGTAAGTTATCAGTTGATAAAACCAAAGTGATTATGATCGACTTACAAAAATGTCTTCCAACCCCTTACCTGACAAATAATCAAAGCTTTTATTCGTTAAAGCTATGGACATTAAACTTGCATGCAACTTACTGCATGGTGTGAGACGAATCGAAAGCTGGAAGGGGTGGACATGAAATTGCTTCAGCATTATTGAAGTGGTTTTGTAGTGGGTAGGAACTCCTTAGACAGTCCTATCAGGGAGAATGAATCATTCCCTGCCCTCCACAGATTTCAGGTGTTTCTTGACCCGGGAAATTAGTACCTGCTCAGGGTCCCTTGTCCAGGGTCACGGATGAAGACCACAACGGCATTCAAGGCGGAGAAGGATACCTTCGGTACGGCGAGGATGGCGGAAGTGACACCCCCTAATTTTAGGGTTAATTTAAAAACAGTAGCGTTTGATCCAGAGTGGATGGCTACGAACAGCGTCTGACCCCGAGTGGGCGGCTGAATATACACTCACCAACCCGTCTGACCAGCGTGGTGTTTTATGGTCAACACCTCCCTTCTCAAACGGCGAATACAAAACCGAACGGAACTGGTCCCCAGGTAGGTGGTTCACATTGTGGCAAATCCTACACCTTATCTAATAAGATCAGTTTCATCGGATCTGGGGGAGACAATAGTTCGTCAATACAGATAACAAAAATGTATATCTCAACTTTCAATGTAAGATCTTTGTCTAAAGACGAGAAACTCTATGAATTAGAGGAAGAAGTTAAACACCTACAATGGGACATAATCGGACTATCGGAGGTAAAAAGAAAAGGTGAAAACTGCGTCTCGCTAGAGTCTGGAAACATATTGTATTTTAAAAGTAGAGAAAACGAAAGTTTAGATGGAGTTGGTTTTTTGATTTCGAAAAAATATGCTCATAAAATTTAGGAATACGTAGGAATAACAGAAAGAATCGCTTTATTAATTATAAATATCAGCGAAAAGGTCACTTTAAAAATAATTCAGATTTATGCGCCAACATCTACACACACAGACGAAGAAATGGACGAATTCTATGAACACCTCACAGAGTCCATGACATATCGAAACACTACATACACGATTATAATGGGCGATTTTAATGCGAAAATGGGCAAAAAACTAGAAGAAAACGAAAACTGTATTGGAGAATTTGGACATGGAGTAAGAAATGAAAGAGGAAATCTATTGGTTAACTATCTAGAAAACTGTTGTATTAGTAATAAACGTAGGCTTTTTAAATTTTTATTAACTTTTTTATTTAAGAACCATTACAATATCGGCATGGCACGAAGTGTCAGCCTTCATTTATATGTCAACCAACATCAAACATAAAACTAATATGACATCTAACATAAAACATAAAACTAATAGAATAGACTTAAAACTAAATATATGACATCTTCCTCTTTTTAATTTTTTTTTTTTTAGTATACATAATCCTTAAATTTAATTGGTTGCTTAATCACCCTTCCCCTATTACTCATGCGTGGAGCCAAATCAACTACTTGTTGATCATCATGTTTAGAGTGATTTATTATTTGATTAGGTTCGTTATATGTCTGCCTATGTCTTTCAGTGTCATTTTTATTCACAATATCATCTCCAGCATATCTTCGTTGACATTCATGTCTTGAGTGTTTTAAATGTACACTGTTTCTTCGTACCATATTTCCATTTTCTTTTTCTACTATGTAAGATCTAGGGGAGTTTTCAATCTTTGATATAATCCTGGCTGGTGACCAGGTTGATCCCTCTCGCATTACTACATTTTCATTATTCTGAAATTCATTTCTTCTCAATGTTGTTCGATCATAATACTGCTTATATAATTTTCTTTTTTCTTCTAACTTACTTCTTTCATTATCATAGTCAATGTTCTCTGGTTCCAGCAGTTCTTCTTTGATTGGAAGCTTTGTTCTTAATCTTCTGCTTTGTAACAGCTGAGAAGGAGATTTATCCGTTCCTGATACTGGTGTGTTTCTGTATTCTAATAGTGCTATATTCAAATCTTCACATTTTCTTAACATATTTTTAGATGTTTGCACTGCCCTTTCTGCCAGCCCGTTTGACCGCGGGTAATGTGGACTAGAGGTGCAAAATTTAAAATTCCAGTCTTTTGCAAAATTCTTACACATTAGTGAATCATAAGGCATATTATCTGAAACTACCTCCATTGGGATTCCGAACCTTGAGAATATTAATTTTAAACATTTTACTACTGTTTCCGCAGTTTTGTCCTTTACTGGAATTACTTCCAACCATTTTGAAAAATAGTCTATCAAAACAAAGTAAGACTTCCCACCATAGTCAAAAAAATCGCTAGCTACTTTTTGAAAAGGCAGCTCAGGAAAATCTCTTAAAATTAATGGTTCCTTGACATTATTGTTGCTAAATTGTTCACAAGTCTTACATTCCTTAATAAAATTTTCAATATCAGCATTTATTTGAGGCCAATATAAAATATGCTTTGCATGATTTTGAGTTTTAGTAACACCAAAATGATTCTCATGCAACAGTGAGAGCATCCCTCTGCGTAATGTATTAGGTACAATGACTCTGTCATTATAAAACAGCAAATCATTGCATAGATGTATGTCATGTCTAATTGAATAATATCTTTTAAGTGATTCCGGAACTTTACTATTATCTGTAGGCCATCCCCTTAAGCAATAGTTTGTTAATCTTTGTAAGCCAATATCCTTTAATGTCTCTTCAATGAAAACTTGTTTTTTCTCCTCTGTGAAGTTAATTGAGTGAACTATTTCTGTAATGAACACATCATCCTCGCTTGTAATATTCTGAAAGTTTCTAGACAGTAAATCAGCAATATGCATTTTTTTTCCTGGCTTATATCTTACCTCAATATCATACTTTAAAAGCTTTACCTTGATTCTTTGTAATCTTGGTGAATAGACTTCAGACACTCCTTTTTTCATTAACGCCTCTAATGGACGATGATCTGAATCAATTTTAATATGACGTCCATAAACATAATTATGAAATTTATTGCAAGCCCATAGAATGGCTAGATACTCCTTTTCAATCTGGCTAAACCGTGT